AGAGAGAGGAGAAAATAAATCTGGGCTCATCTTTTAATGTCTCCCACTTTCAGAATAGCACCACGTCAGATTTGTATAGGAGTGCTCTCCCATTTGTGAGGACCTCAGGCCAGTGAATGCTCTTGGCCCCATACAGCCACCCTGCAGCCTTGTCAGCCCGAGAGGAACACCGGCCAGCATGTTATTAGAGTTCCTTTGTAGGTGAGGAAATGGGAGTGCGTGACACAATGGAACGGGAGAATCCAGGCTTGACTTGCTGATTTTTAAATAATGTCTTTCTGTCCGTGGAAGGGCCCAGCAGTGTCAGGGACAAAGGAGCTATTCTAAATACAACTTATTGTTTATGGTTCCCAAATGTGAGCCCCGCCCCCGGGAAGCTGAATGCTCAGGATTCTGCTTAGATGGAAACGTTTTGTAAGATGGAAAATAGTGGCTACATCGCTCAGGGACTTGTGGAAAGAGGCTCGTGGTCCTCGAGACCTCACATGTCCACAAAACAAGGCCCCTCCTCCCACATGCACGTTGGGCTAAGCACTTCGACTTATGTCATTGTCCGAAATCCATCATTAGTTGATGACAAGTACCAACCACATTCTGTTATAAATAATCTCGAATCTAGTATTCCTTGACTTCCTACTCTGAAATGTGCCTGAATCCAGGAGTTTGGGTTGTACTGAAAGCGGCATTCCCCTCGGGGGAAAACCGTCTGCGACCCCACGGGTACTTTACAAAAAATGTGTTCAACATTCTGTTAATGCACAGCTGAAGCACTGTGCTGGCTAGAGTCCAGTTCAGGACTGGACTAGAATGCCCATAAATTTACTTTTTAAGAATTATAGGGTGATACAGATGATTTTTAAAATAATAGGCGTTATAGTAATACACAGAGAAGTGGATGTGTGTTACTCTTCCCTCATTTCTGTCTCAGAGGCCCAATCATTGTGCATTTGTAATGTGTATGTGTTGTGTTTCAAAGAGGGAGTCTTACTAGGTTTCAATTTCTTTAGCTAGTAAAGCATAAGTGAAGATAGATCTCTCCGGCTCTGTTCTACGGCTGTACGCATGCTTGTACGCAGTAATACCCTAGACACAGAATGTCTGAATCAAAGACAATATACATTTGACATCTGTGACTGTTGCCAGAGAGTGACACTAATTTCCACTCCTGCCAATGGTACATGAATGGCCTCACTCTCAGCTCTGCCAGCATCTCACTTTGTCCAATCTAGTCAACGAAAATTATCCTCCAGTGTTTTAATTTTATCTTCCTGATGTTTAATATCCACTTAAATCACTTCTGAAAATTCTGGTTTTATCTCTTTCTGTTAAGACGTTGCTCTATTCTAAGTCATCACTCATAAAAATCATCAATGGTATGTGTCTAAGTGTGTGGGTATGATCACCCCTCATTCACAACTTCTGTGAATACTGTGGAGCTAACAGCTACCAGATGAACCTCAGAGCCACAGAGGGGTTCCCTAGCACCCGAAGACTCATGTACACTGTGCCACAATAAGGACACACTGCCTGAGGCCACATGCCAGGTGTAGGGATGCCCCCTTGTTGCCCACTACTACCCGTTAGGCTAGTTGATACACTTTAAAAAAAGAGTTCCCCTTCTCTGGGATGTTTGTGTGTTAATCTGCTTGAAATGGCCTCAGCTTTGTGAATCTTGAATGACTGAGTCAAACAGTGCCCGGTGTAGGTGAGTTGCATTATGTACAATCATGACTGCACACTTAGAATTGCATTATGTATACCATCATGAGTGCACACTTGGAATTCTCCCTCGATGTTGCCCAGCAGATTTTAATGGCGTGACAGCAGGCTTTAGAGGCACAGAGCCCTGAAATTACCAATTACTGGTTCTGTGATGAGGCAACTTATATATCAGGGCCTAACAATAGATAAACACTCTTAGTGTATTAACATAAATAATATGTCTATAAAATGATTTATTTTTTCCAAGTTTTGCAAGACTTTGCTCTCCTGTCTGCAGGTGGAAGTGCTCTTCTTTAGTTTGTTAGCTGGACAGGGATAGGGAAGCCATCTCGGCTAAGCTACTCACATGGTAATGTCTTTGAATGTTTTTCTCTTACGCATGAATTCCAAACTTCTGTTATTTTCTGTTAGTTTATTTAGAACACTGACTTTTAAATCTCATAATAATTATAGTGATTATGATAATAGGCTGAATTTATTTAATGTCCTATAATAAACACGGCATATAAATTATTAATTTGGGAGGTAATTTATGAATTCTTTAATATCATGTCCTATCTTCTAATAAAAAATAAGCCCAGTTTTCCAGCACTAAATGGAGGGCCTGGCTCACTTTGAGCTGTATAATGCATCTCATGGGAGAGGAGGAAGTTTAAAAATGATCTTTATACATCACATTTTCTGACCTTTAAATGGGCAAGATTTCTTGGCTATGAAACCAAAAGCACAAGAAATCAAATAAAAGAAATGGATGACATCTAAATTTAAAACTTTTAGGACAATGAATACAACCCACAGAATGGGAGAAAAACATTTCAAATTATCAATCTCATATGGGTCTGGGTTCCAAGATACATAATAATCTTAGATTCCAAGGCACATAAAAAACCCCACTTTAAAAAGTGGGAAGATGATTTGAATAGACATTTCTTAGCACATACTAATGGCCATAGGCCTGTGAAAGGATGGTCAGTGCCTAGTTAGGGTTTCTGTTGCTGTGATGAAAGGCCATGCCCAAAGCAACTTGGGGAGAAAGGGGTTCATTTGGTTTATGATTCCAACTCAGTGTTCATCACTGAAGGAAGTCAGGACAGGAATTCAAACGGCAGGAACCCAGAATCGGAAGCAGAAGCACAGGCCGTGAAGGAGTGCTACTTACTGGCTTGCTCCTCACAGCTTGTCCAGCATCCTTTCATTGAGAGCCTTTGACCACCCAGCTCAGGGCTAACCCCACCCACAATGGGATGAGCCCTCCCTCATCAATCACTAATTAAGAAAATGCCTTTCGCCGGGCGTTGGTGGCGCACGCCTTTAATCCCAGCACTCGGGAGGCGGAGGCAGGAGGATCTCTGTGAGTTCGAGGCCAGCCTGGGCTACCAAGTGAGCTCCAGGAAAGGCGCAAAGCTACACAGAGAAACCCTGTCTCGAAAAACCA